GGCTCCGGCGGCAGCGCGGAGATCCAGCCGCTGCCTGCGCTGCACCCAAGCGGCGGCCCGCACTCGAGCTGCTGCGCGGCGGCAGCCGCCCCGAGCCTCCTGTTGCTGGACTATGACGGCTCGGTGCTGCCTTTCCTCGGGGGCCTGGGCGGCGGCTACCAGAAGACCCTGGTGGTGCTCACCTGGATCCCGGCGCTGTTCATCGGCTTCAGCCAGTTCTCGGACTCCTTCCTCCTGGACCAGCCCAACTTCTGGTGCCGCGGGGCCGGCAAGGGCACCGAGCTGGCAGGTGCCACTGTCACCGGCCGGTGGGGCGACATGGGCAACTGGACCAGCCCCCCGGCCACCCCCTTCTCCACTGCTGCCTGGGGGACCGCGAGCAACCGAAGCAACAGCAGCGACACGCCACCCCTTCCGTCCCCTCCGGGCAAGGGGAACAACGACTCAAATTGTGACTGCCACGCTTGGGACTACGGCATCCGCACTGGCCTCGTCCAGAACGTGGTCAGCAAGGTAAGGGCCACCGATCGCTGCGTCCCCGCGGTTCTTCTCCTGAACCCTTTTCTTCCGATCTCGGTTGCCTCTGCTCTGCGCTCCATCTCTTTCTCTGCAGATCTAGGTCCGAGCCTACCCTGCTGAGGAGCCCGAAATGCTAGCCTGTGTACTCACAATCCCGCATTGGCTGGGCTCCCTGCTGTCCCCCAAAGGAGATGCTCTTACTTGGATATGAAGCCAAGGCTGTTTGCCGCCCTCTGCGGTGCCGGTGACGCTGCATCCGCTTCTAAGGCACCGATTTAGCCTTTTCTAATTTCCACCCAAACTCCTGTCCCAGTGCACATATGGAAAGGGTGCCCTTCCCCCAAAAGTTCAAATGCTCTCCTTTATCTTGCTAGGTGTCAGACTCACTGATGGCTCAGCAGCGGTCCTGGAAGACTCAATCCCTCTTCTAGGTCTGCTCCTTGGAGCCAGGCCATAGCAATGTTCTTTCCACAGGCCGCCTGTCCCTGTGTTTCCTACTAGGAACTAACTATCCATGAAAAATAGTGTTCTACTCTCAGATGTTCTTTCTGGCAGACCTCAGCCATCCCACACGTGCCTTGATCAGATTAAAGCCAATTAAAGAACTGAAGTTATAGGCAAAGAAGCAGAGCCCTTTGAAAAGTTCTCCTGCTGCCTAACCTCCATCCCAACTATGCACTGTCCTTTCCAGAGATCTGTCTGGCTGTAGAGTTCAATGTCAGGGTGTCCCCTCAAATGTTTTTTCTCAGGACTCCAGTCAGTAGCGCCATAGCATAGGAAGGATGTGGGAAGCTTGCAGAGTGTCATCGCAGCTCTCGTCCAGCAGCTGCTCTGGTCTGAGGCATTGAGACCTGGTGAGCTGGTCCCTAGTACCCACTTTGTCCTCCCTGACCCTTGCAGAGGTTCTGCATCCTGTGTAATGTAGTAGGAGTATTCTGTGAGAGATGTATGTCACCCTAAAAATGGACAGTTGGTAGTGTTAGTGCATTATAACCCTAGATATGTATACATTTCAATTGTCTTGACATATGTAGGAAATACTGGATGCCACCTTGTCAAGCGCTTTGTGAAGCATTTGCAGTTTCTGCCCCCTTTGCATTTTAAACAGTGCATTTAGAGCTAGGGTGGTTCTGAGCAGTTTGAAAACACTTTGTCTAAACGTGAGAATGGATCTGGACAGTTTATAATTGTCTGCGTGGAGTCCGTCCCCACAACCAGTGTGTGTTAGTAAACAGTTGTAGTTCATGGATGAGTAAGATGAAACTCTTACATCATCATAATCATTGTTTTAATCTTGTACCAACCTGGGCAGAAACGCTGTGTCCTGTGGGAACTGTCTGGCATAGTGATCCCTCTGCTCGGCGAGATAATTGGGAAGATCCTCCTAGCTTGTCTCATCTTGACTCACCCCCCACAGCACAGCCTCTCCCTTCCAAAGGTGCTCCTGGAACTGATTCCCATTCATGGAGGGCAATATTGCTCTCTCG